TGGACTGTTCCCGGTCCCTCCCAGGGCATCTGTGGCTGAGCAAGCACCTGAGCTGTGCCCCTGCCCCCAGACTGCTGCCCTTCGGGCTGGCTGCTGTACAGGGGCAAGTGCCTCTTCATCTCATCGGAGAAGAAGACATGGGAGGACAGCAGAACTGAGTGCGAGAAGAAATATTCTCAGCTCCTGGTCACCAAATCCTGGAGTCGCTGGACTGTGCCGGTAGGGTGCTGGGGGAGATGAGGGCAGGAGCTGGTGCATCCAGCCCTGGGCTTCCCAGGTGGGTCAGCGCTGCCCTGGGGGCCCCTGGCCTGCTGAAACATTGAAGGGTGCAAGGCTGATCTCTGGAGCACATGGTGGACATGGGGCAGAGAGGCTCTGGCACCCCTGGATGCTGCCCAAGCTGAAGCAGGGCACCAGGGCTGCTCAGCTGTCCTGCCCCAAGGACCTCCCACCCCAAGGGCTCCCTGGGGAAATGACCACTTGCTGCCAACACTGCAGCACATAAGTACCATGGAAAAGCCACTAAAAGGCCCTTTTTCTCCTTCCTCAGACCTTCCTGAAGAATGCGGACATCCCATACTGGATCGGGCTGCAGAAGAGCAGCTTCCCCTGGTACGACTACGGCTGGCTGGAGGAAGAGGACCCGGATGGTGAGGGGGTCTCGGACGCCTGGTTCTGGGTGGACGGCTCCCTTTATGAAAGGTACCCAGCAGCACACCCTCTTGTGGAAACCCCATCTCCTCCAGCATGGCTTTAGGAAGTGTTTTAAATTGCGCTGGTACGCAGTGTCAGGCACAAGCACTGGGCAATAAAGAGCATCAAAGCAGCTGAGGCCAAGGGGAGGTGGGTGCGGTGGTGTGATGAGATGCTCAGAGGCTGTGCAAATGGAAAGCCAAGACTTGGGTGGCGCACGTGCAGGGCATGCACAAGCAGGAGGCAGCAAGAGGGGACAAAAGAAACCGCAAGTTTTATTTGGGGTCTAGACAAAGCGTTCGAGCATCACTTCTATCACCCACGTGCCTTCCCGGTCCTGCTTCAAGAGGAAATCACACCTTCCCACCCGCAGAGGGTCCCGGGCTCCTCCCCGCCACGTGCACCCCCTCCCCACCTCACCACTGCTTCCTCTTGCGGTGTCTGAGAGCAGTGGGGAGGAACAGAGCCGTCTTGCGGGGTGCTGGGTACCCAGCCCCTGCCTGCTGCCCGCCCTTCCATCCTCAGCCCCGCCACGGGGGGCTGCATCCCACTGTGGCTATCCATGTGTCCTTGGGGAGGACCGGGCTCTCCCCATCGCCGGGCGCTGCAGGGATGAAATATCCCCCATCAGAGAGGTTGAGATCAAGTGGGGGGAGGCTAAGGGGAGTCACAAGCAATGCAGACCTTTTGCAGAGGGGTTTCTCAGCCTGCCCCAGGAAGGGCAGGATGCGTTGGCTGTGGTTTCAGCCTGTGAAATCAGCAGGGGAGGACTGGGGGATCCCCGGTTTGACTGCAGCATTCAACCCCTTCCATGCAAGCATACAAGAGGCAGCTGTCAGCAGCCGTGGGTGGGTGGCAGCCCCCTGATGTGTTGTTTCCCCATTCAGGCCGTGGCAGTCGAAGTCAAACGGGTCCTGTGCCATAATAACCCGTGGGAACATCAAACCCGCCCAGTGCGCCGGTCCCGACGACCTGCACCTCTGGATCTGCGAGAAGGCGGCAGGGCCGAGCTCCCCTTTCTGAGCATGATGGCTGCCGACCCCAGCACTGCTGCGGTGAGTGTGCCCACGCCAGGCTCTGCCGAGCCCTGGGGTGTGCGGGGCCTGTGGGGTGTGCGAGGAGGAAAGCAGGGAGCCTGGGCATCTGCATGGGGCACGCTGACCCCCTTCCTTGGAAAGGGAGAGGGATGCAGGCACCTCCCTGTGCTGGATGGAGCCTGTCTCCATCCCTTCGCTGCCATGGGAGGCTGTGGTCTGCGGTAGCTCAAGAGACCCCCCCCCAGCTGTGGTGCAGCAAAGGAGCAAGATGGGGGGAACCCCTTTGCAAGCTGCCTTCCTAGCCCCGCTGTGTGCAGTGGAGGCTGAGCAGCACCTCACCCTCTGCCTTCCCTTGCAGCACCTGCACCCCACACCGCCTCTGCTTCAGCCTTACTGCACCCCTGCCCGGGATGTCCCATCCATGCGAGCAACCCCCTTCCCTCTCGTAGACCCCTGCCCATGGGCTGCTCGGGTCCTTCCCAGCGATGCCCAGTGACGCTCCGGCACCATGCAGGCTGGGACAGGAGGCGGCCGTGGCCGTGACCCCCCCAGCTGATGTGCTTCAGCAGAGCGGTACGGCCCCCACAGCTCAGCCCCACACCTGCATGGGGTAAGCTGGGTCTTCCCGAGCACAGGGGCTGGTGTGCGATGGGGAGTCTGGACCCAGACACAGAGTGGAGCAAGCCCTGATGCTCAGCACTGCAGCCATGCAACATCCCCAGCACAGAGCAAGCCGCGGTGCTGGCACGCAAGGACGCAGTAGTGGGGGACGGCACAGCCCCACACCCCGCCAGGTCCCCTCCCCACAGCAAGGACTTTCCGCCTGGCCCCATCCCAAGAGCAGCTTGGCTGCAGCTTGGCCACAGCTTTCAGGTAACCCAGAAAGCAACCTCAGCAAAGCCTCAGCACCCAAGGAAGGAAGTTGCGCCTGAACTGGCCGGCGCCTGTGCTGGTGGTTGGGGTTTTTTTTGCTGATTAGAAAGTAGAGCAATGACCTTTAGGATTGTACGATGTGACAGTGGCTTTCAATTCAAAAGCAACTCTGGCACTTGCAGCGGACCAGCGCTTTGCGAGACAAGTCATCAGGACTTTAAATAGTTACTACACACGCGCACACGTGAAGATTAAGCGAAATAGCCCTGATGTAACATTGCAGCCAGGCAAGAGCAGAGGAAGTCATGTTCACCCGGGCGAAGACACTCAGTTTATTATGGGGTCGTGCGTGCCATATATAGTTGATTAATTGCTATGTGAATTAGCTTGCTTGAAGAGCAAAAGGGTGTTAAAGGCAGGCTTTTGGGAGGTGGCACGTGTCACTCCTCTGTCTTGTCTGCTGGCCGAACCCACTCTGTAGCAATAAAGAGACACAGCTAGTCTGCTCTTTGCTTTCTTGTGTACCACCACCAACACAGACTCAAGGGCATGAGCCCGAAGAACTGAAATAATAAATAGGAATTTGACCAAAGCCATTTCAAGCGAGATGACCACTTTGGGGGCACTGAGATCTTGGGCTGAGCCAGCCTGGCCTGTGGTCCCCGAGGGGCTCCCCAGAAGCCCCTGGCAAGCCCGTGCAACCTTTTGGGGCCAGGCTCCCCTCTGCATCCAACGTGCATCCAAGAGACAGAAGCAGCACCTTGAGTCGCTGGGACATTCAGTTTTTTTTGAACACTTTAAATAAGCTGGGTATATTTTACTAGCAATTATTATTATTAATAATAATAATAATAATAAAAACCACAAGAGTTCTGCATTCACCAGTGCATTGTGCAGGAGGGAGGAAAGCCGGCTCCCACCCTTGCCAGTGGGCAGCCTGGCCGCGCTGCCTACCGGCCCCTTCCCACCGGTGCCAGGATGGCACACTGGCCCCTCCGCCAGCACCCTGCTCCTGACCCCGTGTGCCGGGGGGAGACGGGACGCCGTGCTGGATCAGCACCCAGCCCCCAGCGTTGGGTGGGTAGGGGCAACCCCAGTGCTGGCAATCCTCCCTGTGCACTGCCCCACGGCCATCGCCCCTCTCCCGGCCGCCTGCACGCCTCTCTCCACATCAGGGACTGGCTGGGGGGCCCGCGCTTGTGGGGAAGCATGGGGACACCCACCAGCCCCACAGGATCCCCCAAAACACACATACACATACTGACCCCTCTGCCCTCAGCCCAGCCCCACTCACCCCCCAGCCTGGGGGGCTGTGGGGGCTTGCAGTTCTCCTGGAGGAGCAGGCTC